ACGGGAAGTTGTGTTGCATCAATCTCATGATACCGTAACAGGAGGACATCTCGGAGTTAAGAAAACATTGAGACACCTATGACACAGATTTTACTGGATAAGTATGAGACAAGATGTGGAAGAATGGTGCAGAACATGCAGTACAAGTTGTGCTAAAAGGGGACCCAAGCATAAGGGACGTGCTCTAATGAAGTTATATCAAGTTGGTGCACCAATGGAAAAAGTAGCCGTCGACATTGCTGGTCCTCTGCCCCAAACTCGTGCTGGAAACAAGTACATTTGTGTGGTGATGGATTATTTCACCAAGTGGCCGGAGGCATATACAATACCAAATTAGGAAGCTACAACTGTAGCTTCAGCTATTAGTGATTTCTTCTTCAGATTTGGTATGCCATATGAACTGCATTCGGATTAAGGCCGTAACTTTGAATCAGCTGTGTTCCAAGAATGCTGCAAGTTGTTTGGCATCCGAAAGACCAGGACAACGCCATTCGCCCACAGTCTGATGGGATGGTAGAAAAGTACAATTGGACAGGAATTGGCAAAGTTTTGTAATAGCTGGCAAGATGACTGAGATGTCTTACTCCCTCCACTGTTGATGGCCTATAGGACAGCAGAGCATGAAGCCACTGGATACACTCCAGCAAAGTTGATGTTTGGCAGGGAACTTCGGTTGCCAGTGGATCTGTTAACAAGACGCCCACCTTATGAAGAATTGCCTGAGAATGTGTCAGTTTGTGAAAGTGTTATCGGAAAGGATGGATGATATTCACCATCAAGTAGGTTCAAACTTGAAAACGTCTGCTGATTCGATGAAGCTATCTCATGATAAGAGATCTACTGAAGTCAGCTTTGAACCAGAAGACAAGGTGTGCTTGTATAATCCCAGGAAGACCAAAGGGAAGTCTCCTAAGTTGTCTTCCCCATGGGAAAGCCCATATGACATAGTGGATCGTCTCTCAGATGTGACTTTCTGGGTAAAATGTGGTCGGCGAGGTAAGTCAAAAGTGACGCATGCCAACAGGCATTGGCGTTATCACAGTCCGGACTAAGTGGACAACAGAACAAATGATGCTGCTGAAGACGTGCCACCTGAAGAAGCCACCATCGAAGAAGAAACTCTACTCAGTTTTGAGAAGGGAAACAGTGAAGCTCTTGGTGAAGTTACTACCACTGGTGTGACTGTTATCGACGATAGGACATTTCCTGATGAAGCAGATGAACCCCATATGAAGCAGAAGCCAACGAGAC